CAAAACCCAACTCTTATGCCATTAGAAAGAGGATCATGAAAAACCTATAAAAAAATGGTTCAAGAAATTTTAGTTCGCTCATAAAGCTAAAGTCCGCTTGCTCTAGCAAAAAATGCCCACTGTGTATTAGTCAATCAACTGTATGAAAATCGTGATCCACTGGACATTTTTCCATCGTTCAATCGAGAGTGTGTTAAGCAAACGATAGATGAAATTTCCGTTAAAGAAAATCCAACTGAGGACTTGCAAATTTCATTAGTCAATTTTTCTGAATCATTTTTATTTTGGGTTTTGAACAGTGCTTTTATTGTGAATAGTCTCTTAACTGCATGGTTTCTAGCTTTCAGAGTTATGTGTATCAGAAAGAACAGCTTGGTTTTTTAATCATTTTATCACTATCAACGTGAAATTCTTTTTCAACTCACGTGCCAGTATTATACTGCAGGGATACTGCACACTTTTTGATTTTAGTATCATTCTCTAACGAAATGTGTCGTAAATGAAATGTGAACTCGTTAGGATGTGTGAATCAGCCGCTATCTTTTAAAACATTTTCGTTTGATCACTATGTGCTTTTAAAAATAGCCGCCAATTTACAGGTAACAATAAATTACGAAAAAACAAGTTAAGTAGGTAAGTTTCAGTTGTATGAAATGACATCTTCGTAGAACAGATGTAGAGTATTAGGTTGCCATTTGTCTATCTTATGAGGACAATATATTTTTCTAATACGATTAAGCGAACTGGTTCATAACTGATACGGTAAGTTTTAGACAATTTTAATCTAACAAGCGACATCTGAACGCTGTTAGTTCCTTAACATCTTTGACAAATCAGATTTATTTAAATTTGACAGCTGAGAAAAAAATCGATGAATTTGAGAATTATCTTTATCTTTCTTTTTCCCTATTTTATTTTTGTAGATGGACTCGAGTCATTGATATTACAAGTCGTGGACGTTTGATTACTCTCACTTTTCGTGAATAAACTAGTCTTTGTCTTAGTCTTAGTGTAAAACTAGTTTTAGGAAACAATCCGCCTGAATTAGGAGAAAGTATTAATCAAGATAAGATAAGATTTATTTTTTACTCAAGAGTAGGATGTCACCATCATGCTCGTTTCGACTTAGAAAAGGCAACGTTAGAAGAAAAACTTCGGGCATGAACCGTCTTGATTTAGACTTTTACAGTTTTTCAAAATTTATCATCGTCTAAGTCCTGTTTCTCTCTTTTACACTATTCATCGTCCTCACTACTCATCTTTACGTCTTCATCACTCTAAATACGTTCGTCTTTCACCTTCTGTTGATGGTTTTTCTCCACAAACGGTGCATTCTTCATTTTTTTATTCAACTATTACTGATTGGAATAATCTTCCAGAGTCAGTTATTTGTCTTTCTTCTTTTATGTCTTTCAAAACATCTTTACTTCAGTATCTCTTCCAGTGAAACGCTTGTCAGTTAAGCATTTATGCTTGTTCTTTGCATGTTTTTTGTTTGTTTTTTTTTAAAAATTTTTTGTTTTCTTTTACTACTTCTGGTTCTAATTTTAGTTGTCTTCTTTATTTTGTTATTTCCTTTATTACTATTTTGGTGTTGTTTGGCTTGAGTCATTGTTATTACAGGTCGGTAATCTTTGATGACTCTCACTTTTCGTCAATAAACAATATTAGTCTTATTTTTTCTCATAATAACAACTTATGTGAAGAAACTGGTTTTGGAGATCTTATAAAGTTGTGCCAGCGATTCTCAAGAACCAGCTACCTGCGTTCCATGGCTCTCAACAAACTTTGCTGCCATTCTGTTTTCGCTGGTAAAATGTGGGAAATGCGCAGGTAAACTTTAGATCGGCGCTCTGCGTGGAAGTTTTATTAGAAACACTATCACTACTGCACGATCATCCGTTGACTTCTCACACCATGACAAACCTTGGGAGTGGAAGAAGGAAACTTCATACCTCATGTTGTACACACTGCTACCGAAATTCTTTGAATTTGATTGCTAATTGAAATTCGTTCTTTTCGTAGCTGACCGAATATACATCTTAGAGGTGAGTAGGTGTTGAATATAGCTTGATTAGAATTATGAAAATACCGTGTATAAATCAAGATTTTTCTATATCTTGCAAATGACGATGAAAACAGGCTATATGTATATAGTTTTTTGTTTATTTTCAGATTAATTGTGCTTCACATGGCTCAGACAGCCATAACCAGCTTTTTTTCGTCAAATACAAAAATAGCAGAGAAAAATATGGCTCAAACTGCTGGCAAGCCTTCGAATTCAAAATTTGATACAGATGACGCAGATGACAGCGATTTACTTGCAGCTGTTGAAATGTACGAAAAAAGTCAAACGTCAGCCGTTAGCACAAATTCAGCTACAATTCCTAAGTCTAAGCAACAATGGCCGATATCCTATTCATCATCAAAACAGCAACATCAAGTACAAAAATACAACAAACCTGTGCAGCAAACCACTGCATCAGTATCTGCTACAAATGCATTTTCTCTCGAATTACAATACACAGATTTTGATGCCGACTCAGGACGACTATGGATATATCCAATTAATTATGAAAAACGTGATTATCAATTTAAAATAGTTAGCGAAGCATTGTTTAAAAATACACTAGTCGTACTACCAACAGGTGAGTGAAGACATAAAAGTCATAGTAAGAACAAATGATTGGGAGTACAAAGAAACGGAATCGATACAGTTCACTTATGATCAGTGGAGAAGAAAGCTATTTTACACATTGGGATATTTTTTAAAATATCGTTTTTCGATTTTTTTCATTCACTTCGAGGAGTGTTTATCTTTGAAAGTCTTCACGACAAAAAACGCATGTTTGCTCTTATTTAGAAAGGAGAAAACCACTGTTGATTGCTGTTTTCCTTTGCCAAATAGGTCTTGGTAAAACGTTTATTGCTGCTGTTGTCATGTACAATTTTTGTCGCTGGTATCCAAGTTGTAAAATTATATTTATGGCACCAACCAAACCATTGGTTGCCCAACAATTAGATGCATGTGCAAAAATTATGGGAATTAAACGAACAGAGATGTGTGAAATGACAGGTATGAGCTTAACTGAAGTTGAGTACGCCAAGATATATTTACAAGATGAAAAACTCTTTTCAGGTCATATATCGCCTGATGAACGTAAGCGTTTGTGGCAACAAAAACGTGTGTTTTTTCTGACACCTCAAACATTGACCAATGATTTATTACGTGATCCTTATTTATGGACAAAAGTGAGATGTTTAGTGGTTGATGAAGCACATCGTGCAACAGGAAATTATGCATATTGTCAAGTGAGTGCTCTGGATTTATTCTGTATTACTTTCGTTCAATTCCTCTTTTCGTTCAGGTTATTCAAGCATTAGCTACACACAGTGAACAATATCGCGTACTGGCATTAAGTGCAACGCCTGGAAATAGTGTCGAAGTATGCTTCAGTAGATAAAAAGTACTGATAATCAACAAAAGTTTCCTTTTAGGCTGTCCAACAAGTAATAGATAATTTGAAAATTGCTCACATTGAACTACGTACCGATGATTCACTGGATATTAAAAAGTATAGTTTTGAAAAAGTCATTGAAAAAATTATTGTCAAACCGAATCCGTTAATGGATGAGTTACGCTCATGTATTTTGGACATATTGAAACATCCTATTGAACAGTTACACACAATAGGAATACTGCCTCGTGATAAACCGGAAGCATATTCACAAGGAGTGATCGTTCAAATTATGCATCAGTTACAAACAAATCCACCTAGACAACTGAGTGTATGTATGATCAACTCTTATATTTGGATGTGATCGAAATACATGTTTTGTTTTGTTTTAGGATAGACAAATACAAGAAGCCAAAACACATATCTTCTTTGCTATTACATTCTATCATGCATTACAAGTTCTCGAACAGCATGGCCTTCGTCCAGTGTATACATTTTTCAAAAAGAAATTAACAGAAGACAAGAAAAATAGTCAGATTCATATGATATTTCGTACAAATTCTAAACTGGGATCGATTTATGCTCAATTGACAGCGGCTTTTGATTTGACACAAATCAGTACACAACAGCGTTGTCTATCGTCAGTGGATATTGGTCATCCAAAACTAATTAAATTGAGAGAATGTGTCGTGGATCATTTTCGAAAATTTGAACGGGAAAAGAAATCACCTGGAGATCAAACACGTGTTATCATTTTCAGTGAAAAGCGTGAAAGTGTGAAAGAAATAACGGAAATTCTAACACAAGAGAAACCACTGATAAAGCCGATGGCGTTTGTTGGACAACAAAGTGGTGGAATTACACAAAAACAACAAAAAAAGATCGTCAACGACTTCAGACTAGGTGGGCTGCATGATCAGATGAAAACACTTTCTTATCATTATCTAACTACATGTTCTTGTTTAGGTGGTTACAATACGCTGGTAGCAACGTGTATCGGTGAAGAAGGTTTGGACATTGGTGACGTTGACCTAATTGTTTGTTTCGATGCACTGAAAAGTCCAATTCGTCTTATTCAACGTATGGGCAGAACAGGACGTAAACGTCAAGGTCGAATTGTTTTGTTGATGACCGAAGGCAAAGAAGAACGCACATTACGTGACGGTGAACTAAAACAACGACGAATATACAAGACAATTGTTGATGGACAAAGAACACTAAAATTATATTCGAAAAACCCACGAATGCTACCATCAAATATTCATCCGACATGTCAAGAAATGAATATCAAATTTGATGAATCAGTAGATAAACAACAAATGACGGGAACAAAAAGAAAGGACACTAATGATGATGAAAAAGAGTTTGATTTTGATCGAATGATCAGTAAAAGCAAACAACAAGGTTAGGCGTTGCATTGAATTCTCATTTTACGTATGAAGTATGCGACTGTTTATTTCTAGAATCGTTGACGCGTCTATTTCGTAAAGAGAAGCTATTATCAGATCAAGAGTACTATTACTGGATGAGAAATTTTCGATATGAAAAAGAGGATGAAATGGATGATGATGAATTTTTATCGAATGTAAGCGATGACAACTGTGTCTTGAAACAGTGTGATATTATTTAATTGTTTTCTGTTAGAAAGATCGTTTGTCAATGATGATAAAAACGTGTATGGAAAAATGGTCAACAGTTCAAATTCAAGCCGATAAACACTCAACAAGAACTCAGATGTTTGTAAATATTATGAAATTTATTGCTGATCAAGGTACGAATAAGTATCTTGTTCATACAAGGCAGTCATCCGAAAAACAGGAGAGAGCAATGGAGTTGGACGAATGATATTGACTTGATTTTGTTCTAGAGTGACTCTATGATACTCGAGTAGAGAGAATGAGCAGTATAACTGGGAATTGACGAGTTTTGATCTTGATACTGGTAAGTTTTGTGTGTTTTGTAGTTTGACTGTGCTTAAATTAGAAAGGAATGACTTATCACTGCTTGTTGCGTTAACTTCTGTCAGCGATAAGTCTCTTGGTTAATGGCTGCTCGCTAATGTTCTAGGAGCATTGAATGAAGATAACTATGCCGATGAAATGGATCGAATTACAAATTTAGAATCAGCTGGCAAAATTGAGGTAGATTATAGATAAGCTATCATTTTAACAGTCACAAAAATATTCAATTGTATGTTTCAGTATTGGCTCGATGGTAAACGAAAAGATAAAAACGCAATTCTGTTTCAGCGTCAAATACCAACAAACGCGTTGACAACAACAACAAATCAAGATGATAATATCGCTAAATCATACATGCCCTCTTATCAAACGATTACAAATAGATCAACATCGCCAACATTACCGTCACAACAACAAAATCGATGTAGCATACCTGAAATACCACCATCATCACGTATGAGAACATCGGATGAATGGAATAATAAATTGAATTTAACGCCAGTTGATTTAAATCGATTATTTTTAGAATGTGAAACAGAAATGAATTTACCAGCAAATGTTGATGAATGGAATATCAAAAATGATCAAAATGAAAATAGATTAGATGATGCTGAGGGAATATTTGAATGTAAGTATTACAAAAAAGTAGTCGTTATATAATAATAGTAAATGATGCATTTAAAGCCATCTGTTGATATATCATGTTATTTACTTTTATTTAGATCCATCGCATACGGAAGATGATTTTCAGCAAATGCAAACTACATCAGCCACTGTTGATAATCCACCATCTACTATAATATCTTCGTCAAATAAATTGTTGAGTCAACAGCAACCTCAATCAAGTGGTATACCGAATTTTGATATGACATTAGATGATCTATTTGCCAATACTCAAGT